AAAAACCCCTCTGCATGTAAACAAGACTTGGTAAAATCTGCAGTTTTGAGGTGGAGGATTAAATAAGTCCCCAACACAGTGCTTGCACTGCAGGAGAAGACAAATATTTTCGTTTCATTCTGTTCATTCCCCACTGGGAACCTGCTGTGCTCTCAGGCATGGGCATCTGGGAACATTTCACAGGGCATTTACAGCTCTATCAGCTGGGAAATCGCTTGTGGCCCCAAAGCTGGAGCCGTTCTGGCCAGTGGAGCCAGGGACCAGCCCTGGAGCATCGCTGGCAGGGGGAGAAAAATGCATCTTGGAGGAATCAAGCCCTGAATATTGAAATAAGTTGGTGCCTGGCTGGGAAGCTCAATCAGCCCCTCCACGCCGGTTCCCTGAGCTTGAGGGGTGGAACAGGAAAGGACATCTTGAGTTTTACTAACAAATGCATTTTTTTTCCCCAGCTGAAGTGCTGGGGCCAGTTTGTTTCCTACCAGGTTATTTTTATCAGCCATTTGCTGTAAATTGTCTGCCTGGGAAGCAGAGCCCCCAGGGCTGCCACAGCTCCCGTGGCAGGGAGAGCCGGAGCCCACCCGGGACGGGACCCACAGCCATTCCTGCCTGGATGGTGCTGCCTCCTGCCCCACCAGCCTGTGTGGCAGGGGTGAAGCTGTCACTGGGGAACCCTCTGGAAGAGCCTCACATGCTTGCAATTCCATCCCAGACCCTTTGTCCCCCCCACCCCTGACCTTCCTGGCAGCCCCACAGGCTGTGATGCAGGGAACTCATTTATAGCATTGTGATGTCCATGGTGGGAGCAGAGGCAGGCTCGGGATCAGGCCCTGCCCTCCCTGGGGCCAAGGATATGCCCGTGTTTCCATGGTCAGTCTGCAGTGGCAGCTCATCTGCACATTCACCTTCCCCAGAAGCAGGACCCTCCTCCAGACACGCTCCCAAAGCCTCTCTCCTTCATCACTGGGATCCAGGGTCTCCTGGCAGGGACCAGCTCACCCCTGCACCAGCAGGGCCTCCCACCCCCAAACCCCAATCCAAACCTGCTGCTAGCTCTGATTTAACAGGCTCTCAGCAAACACTTCCACAGATTTTTAAGTATGGGCATTGTTCTTTGATCTTATTATTTTATCATTAAAGCCAAGATCCTCAAACCAAACTAAAGTGTTTGAGATCAAGAACTTGCCAAAGCAGAGCAGCACCTTTCCTGTTTGGTTGTGGTCCAGGCACTTTATGGCAGGTACTTTTTTACCTGGCTGATGTTCAACTGACAGCTTTCCAAGCACATAAAAAACTTATTAGGCTGAAAATAGAGTCTGTGACCATAAACTGTCAAGAGCACTGTCAGCATTTCCAGCCCAAGTCTGCTTCGTGTACAAGCACTGGCAGATCAGGCTGCTGGGGGAGCAGGGTGGAGAGGATGGGGCTGTGCAGCCCTTTGCAGGACTCATTTTGGGTAGGCAGGAGCCTGTTGTGGTTTAAGCACATCATCTGGGCAGCTGCAGCTGGTTGTTATTCACACATTGATAGCTAATACTTTTTAGAAATGAAGTAATGCATTGCTTTAAAAATACCCTGTGGCATCGCCAGGCTATCTATAATTTCGCTATTAAATGGCATTAAACCCAGAATAGCTGATGCTTTCGCTAAGGCAAACAAAAACATCCATTTGGTGCTTAAAAATAACCCAAAGAAGCAGAGAACACCAGGATGGTCCCCAAGCCCCAGAGAGCAGGAGCACCTTGTGGTCAAAACCCAGGAGGAGGCTGATGCCTGATGGGACGTGGGACTGACTCAGGACAGACCCCCACGGCTGGTCCCCCTTCAGTGCCTTTCATCTGAGACTGTTAAGCAGCTTTGCTTATTTGAATCCATTAGAACTAGGAAAGCTTTTTAATAAACTCCCTGCCAGCCTGGAATTAGTAGATGTGGGCCAATTAGACACGTTAATTAGGCACTGGTTTAAACACAGATGAAGTTTGACTTTGCTTACCGACCTCAGAGGAAGCAGCTTCTCAAAGTTCACCTCCCAAGGACTGAAAAAAAAAGGCACCTTTTACTCCCAGTCCCGAGCACCTCCCAACAGACACACAGCTCTTCGGCTTTATTTTCAGAGCTCCTGCTTTCCCTTTGCCTCCCCACGCAATAAAAATGAGACATTTAATCTCATAATGCACCTTCTCACTGAAAATCAATGGTAAAGCACATTATCTTGCCTGCCCTGAGCCTGCAGCTCTGGCTTGACCTTCCTCGAGCGCAGCGAAGTCGGGGGGGAAAGGCAAAGGTTGAACTGGAGGGTTTGGCAGTGGCAAAGTGAGAAACTCTCCTGTGCCTCAGGAGGGACAGGACAGGATGGCCCTGCACAACAGCCATGGGCACAGCTTGGTGTCTCTCATGCCCCAGGCTCGCTGCAGGCAGGAGAAAGCAGAATGTGAGCGGTGAGAGGCAGAGCAGGCTGAATCCAGCCCGAATTACGGAGCCTCCAGCCCCACCCCAAGCACAGCCCTGGTTTGTTACTGGGGATTTCTCATCAGGAGATGGATCCTGCTACCCTTGTTCCTGCTGAGCAGCATTTATTCCACAGGGGCCTGTGACCTGCACGAGGTCAAAGCAAAGCCTGAAAGGAGAAATCAGTGGCATCCCAATCTCTGTAACTCCCAGTGCCTATTGTCACTCACATCTCCCAGGGTTTTCCATGCTGGAACCTACAATGGCATGTTGGCCCAGGAGAGCAGATGGCTTTGAATAACAGGCTACAGCATCAGCTTAACACTTCAAACATTACCTGGGGACCCCAGAATTTGACCTGTAAGGCACTAGAGGCTCCAGAACTCCTCCTGAAAGATGTGTGACAGGCACCCAGTGATGCCATTACCTTCCAAATTCCTTCCTCTGTAATGGAACCAACAGGAGCTCAATTAGCAGCCCTGGGTCCCATCTCCAAGGTGGGGATGTCGTTGCTGACCAGTGGAAAAATTACCAGCAGCAGGTGAAGTGTAACCACTCAATCAGGCAGCCCCCACAGGTCTGTGGGTCGGGAGGTCTGGCAGCATCCCAGGCCCCCTTAGCAGGGCTGCAAACACACCCCAGGGAACACAAACCAGACACATTCCTCCAGCACAGCCTGTGCCACATGATTTAGGAGGCTGCAATGTCGAGCAGCAAAGTGATGGCTTGTGCTGCTGCTGGAGGGATGGTGGAGTCTATTTTTTCTCCAACAACAACAGTGAAAGTTGTTTTCACTAATGGTGCTGGCACGGAGGCTCAGCAAGAAGGAGGGAAGTGGCAAGTGGCCAGGGTGAAAAAGAGTTCACAATTACAGTAGGAAAGGCCACTGTGTCCCTCGTGCTGGCCATGGAAATGCTGAGGACAGGGCTGGAAGGGGCTCCAGGAGGGCACTGAGTCATCCCCTGCTTCAGGAGAGCATCTGCTGCACCCAGAGCATTTTCAGCAGGCACCCAGACTATCTGCTTATCTTATTTTTAAACTCCTCCAGTGACAGGGTGCCACAATCTCCCCAGCAGTCTGTTCTCATGGTTCAAAAGTTTTTCTTATGTCCAATGCAAACCCCCGTGTTGCAATTAAAGCCCAAAGCATTTTGTCCTCCACGGAGAGAGAAGCAGGATGGATGAAGAGGGATGCAAGCCTCGTTGGTTTTTTACTTGTTTTATTCCCAGCCAAAAGAAAGAGAGTTTATTTCTTGAACAAGATACTATCTCCTGCAACACACAACCGAGAAGTATCTTTCTATTTTTAAAAGTGAAGTATAAGAGTTACATAAAAGCTATGGAAACCAGGAATGAGAAACAGGGTCTTCACTTTTGGGCTCTGCCTCCTACCCCAGCTAATTTCCCCACCCCTCAGAGCTGACCTGGGCTGTTCACAGCCCATTAGTGTGAGGAGCTGCACTCACTGCCCTCCTCACCAGCACAGGGCTGACAGGCCCCACATCCCCTGCAGCTTCTCATCAACCTGCCAAAGAAAGCAGCAGAAACCCTGAACCTGGTTATTCTGTTCCTTTCTGCCCTCTTAAGCCAGCACTGGACACAGGAAGCCTGACTGTTTGCTCTGGTGACCAGCTGAGAAAAGCAGAGATGAGGCAGATAATGTAGACAGGTGACACAAAATAGATTACTCAGACAGATAACACAGACAACACAGACAGACAGCACTGATAACACAGATAGATAATAGGGTGACACAGATAACATGGGTAACAAGCAACACAGGTAGATAACAGGGATGACACAGATAGATAACGCTGGTGACACAGGACACACAGGTTGAATGTTCCTCAGTGCCCTGGGTGTGAAGCAGCACTCCCTGCCCGCAGCTGGGCAGAGCAGCAGGAGCCAGGGAATGGCACCTCAGGGTACTTCGGGACAGCCACACAGCCCTAAAGGCCCCCTCTGCCAGGAGGGCAGGCAGCGAGGGTGCTGGCAGGAGAACCTCCTCCAGCCTGGGCACACGCAGCCAGGGGCAGCTCTGGGCTGTCACCGGCACGGGACGGACCGCGGCCCCGCCGGGGGCTGCCAGCTCTGCCCAGGGTGCCAGGCACGGGACACAGAGGAGCCAGCCTCGGTGTGAGGGCGAGCCGGTGACAGAAGCAGCTGCTGCCGACGGAGCCGGTGCTGGGAGCGCGCAGGAGGCGGTGCCGGAGCGCTCCGGAGCGCTGCGCGGTGCCCGCGGCCGGAGCCCCGGGGTGCGGGGAGAGCGGTGCCCGGTGCGGGGGGAGCGGTGCCCGGTGCGGGGGGAGCGGTGCCCGGTGCGGGGGGAGCGGTGCGCGGTGCAGGGGGAGCGGTACCCGGTGCGGGGGGAGCGGTACCCGGTGCAGGGGGAGCGGTGCGCGGTGCAGGGGGAGCGGTGCGCGGTGCGGGGATAGCGGTGCGCGGTGCAGGAGGAGCGGTGCGCGGTGCGCGGGGGGCGGTCGCGGGGGTGCGCGGGGGGCGGGCGGGGGGCGGCGGCGGCGGGGCCATGCGGAGCCCGGGCTGAGCGCGGCGGCCGCCCCTCGCCATGAAGCGGCAGAACCTGCGCACGGCCGCGCTCATCCTCTGCATCTTCTCCTACCTGCTGGTGGGCGCCGCCGTCTTCGATGCGCTGGAGTCGGAGGCGGAGAGCGGCCGCAAGCGGCTGCTGGAGCAGAAGCGCGGGGAGCTGCGGAGGAAGTACCGCTTCTCCGCCGACGACTACCGGGAGCTGGAGCGGCTGGTGCTGCAGGCCGAGCCGCACCGCGCCGGCCGCCAGTGGAAGTTCGCCGGCTCCTTCTACTTCGCCATCACGGTCATCACCACCATCGGTGAGTGCGGGCAGCCCGCGGCATCCCTCCATCCCCAACCCCCTGCACGCCGTGTCCCTCCATCCCCACCTCCCGACACCCCGTGTCCCTCCATCCCTGCCTCCTATCTTCCTCTATCCCCACGCCCCTGCATCCCGTATCCTTCCATCGCCACCTCCCTGCACCCCATCCTCCTCCCTCCCCGCACCTCCAGTACCCCCGGGAGCTCCAGGACATCCCGGGGGATGCCCACATGGCAGGGGCAGGTCTCGTTCTCTCAAGGCTTGCACCTCTTTAGGCATCTCCTTAGGCCACCCCCGAGCTGACCCTGTGAGACCCCCGGTGCCAGCGCTGGGGAAGGCAAGGCGTGGGCAGGCTGGGGCCACCCGGTTCTGGGGTGCCAGGGATGCTGCCGTGGCTGGGGCCACGAGACACGATGCTGTCCCAGGGAGGGAGCAGCTCGTGGAGCTCCTGCAGGAAGCTGCTTCAGGTCAGGCGGCTGCCGAAGTTGGCAGCGGTGTGGGAGGGCAGAGGTGGCGGCCACATCTGTCCCCTGCTCAGGGCTGTAGAAGGGTGAAGAGCTGGGCAAGAACCACTGGCTTCTTTGCCAGCTCAAAACTCCCGAGGTTTGGCTGTGGGAGATCTGCTTCAGGGAGCCAAGAGAGCCACCAGACACTGCCCCTCGCTCTGCCTGCTCGGGAACCTGCGGAGGGATGGGTGTCAGCCTGGAGGGGAATGATTGAATCACATTAAACTCCCACACAGACACACTCACCCACACTAGAGCCCAGTGCCTTCAATTTTGCAAGAGAATGAAACTAAATTGTTTGAAGGTTCCCTGAATTCTAGGTGAGATTAGCCACATGGGAGTTTAGCACTGTTTAATTAATCCATTTTGATTAATCCATGCACCCTGAGCATCCCGTGGGGGTAGACAGGCTGGGATTCTGTGCTCATGTCACTGCTTGTGCTGGGATTTCAGTCAGCAGATGAGTTTTGGAGGCAGGAATTCTGAGGCCAAATCCTGCCCTCGTCTGCAGGACAGGACTCAGCCTTACCAAAGGGCTTGGGATGGTTGAAATACCTCTGGTAGCTGAAAGCATCATCCCCCAGGACAAGGGCTGGTGGGATTAACTGCACCGTGTTACCAGAGGACGAGAGCTGGCAGAGGGGCAGGTGCCCTGCAGGCCCTGCCTGGGGTCTCCACGTGTTCCCATGGGATGGGGTTTGTGCAGCTGGGAACACACGTGGCCAGCAAACAGCAGCGGGCTCAGGGCACAGTTCAGGTGAGGCCCCAGCAGGAGGGAAGGGTGAATGGCTTCAGAGAAAACCTCCATCACTGCCTGACAGGTTATAGCTTCATTTACATGATTTTCCTGTCGGCTGTGACAAACAATGGCCACGCTTATCACACGCCCCGTGCGATAAATAATTGCAGCCCAGGTGCCATATTTCTAAAACACTGGCATGTCAGACTTCTCTGTGTTGGGCTCTGCTCCAAATCTCAATTTTAACGTTAATGTAGCTGTGTTTACTCTTTCTAATTCCCTCTGTCATTTTGAAAGCATCAGTCAAACGCTCTTTTCAACAGTCTCTCAGGGTATAACAACTGTTTTTCCACTTACTGCTCTTCTGGATCATTATATTTACCTCCTCATTGCTGTCATTGTATTATCTGCTAGCCAGGGACCTGGTAATTGCACTTGGTTATTAAGCTTGGATCTGACAGGGGGTTTTTGCCACTGCAGTCTCCTGTCTGCTCTGTATTCAGTGAAATGTGGCATGCAGGCATTAAGTTCATAATTTTTGATTGCGTGGGTTTGTGAACAGACAGAGCAATTAGAAGCTGGTCTGTTCCTGCCTGCTCCCGGCTCAGAGCGCAGCATGGTGGAGGATGCTGTCCTCAGCCCCTCAGCCCTGTCCCAGGCAGGAGTTTCCTGGAGCAGGAGGTGTGTTCCAGAGCCCAGGATGACATGGTTATCCTCCTCTGGTCATCCCATCACTGGATGCTGTCAGCTTCCCCAGCAGTCCTGGAAACCTTCACTGGCAGCAAGGACAGAGGGGAAGCCAAGTCACAGCTTAGAGTAAGACTGAGAAATAAACAAGAGGGTTTCCTCTCCGTGCAAAAGTCACACAAATTCCTGCAAAAAGGGAAAAACATCAGTAGCTGTTTGTGAAAGGCCCCGGCAGCAGCAGGGGAAGGAGCCAGCGCTGTTCTGCAGGCACCCTCAGAAGGGAAGCTTCCAGCCCTGGTGGTTTCTTGTAAAAGAAACTCAAAAGACAGGCTCGGATGCCTTTGGATGCCTTTGGATGCTGCTACTCCCCACACCACGTGACTCCCTGGCACTGAGTTGGTTCCTCATCCGCTGAGGGCAGGGGCCACTGATTTCTGAGTAGCTGCTGTAATTGAGGTGGGCACAGAATGGCTGGAGTCAGGAAGATTGCAGCGAGTACCTCATTGTGCCTCACAGTGTGATCGTGTGTGTCCTTGAGTCATAGCCCTGAAACTTGGAGCAAGGTGGGGAAATTAAATCTCAGAAGGCATTCAAGGCAAACCTTGTCCTCCTTGAGCTCCTTGTGCCCAGGACAAGGGCTGACAGAGCTGCAGTGGCATAAATAGTCACTTCCCTGCATCTAAAACAGCACAACCCCTTCTCCCCAGCAGTCCGGCCGTGGTTTAGGTCTGAGTTGCAGTGACACTGGAGTAGATCTAGTGTGGCTCTGCAGAAGTCCTCCCAGACTGAGATGCTTCTGCAGGCACTGTTGTCTCAGCATCCTGCAGAACCCCCATCCTCCCTAAGGTGACCCTGCACACCCAGCACTGCACTGGCACGGCCTCTGAATTGTTTGTGAGCTGCAGGAGGCTTGTCCAGCTCTAGATCCCAGGAGCTCTAGGGCTCCTCCTGGCCTCTGCAACAAGCTCAGGGCCTATCAGGAGGGTACTTTCTCTCTTTAGAGGCCAAATGAGGTTCCACCTACACGATACTGCGATGTGCCGTCATCCCAAAGGATGTGGCATCATGTGGCCCCCTCAGCACTGCCTGCAGATCTGTCACAGTCATTTCCCCTTTTCCCCCGCTCTCCTGCTGCTCCTCTTGGTCCTGGGGCAGCCTTGCTGGAAACCCCATTGAGGGCTTGACACCACCTTCTCCTCTTTCCTTGCCAGGCTATGGACACGCTGCCCCGGGCACGGACGCCGGCAAAGTGTTCTGCATGTTCTACGCCATCCTGGGCATCCCCCTGACGCTGGTCATGTTCCAGAGCCTGGGCGAGCGCATGAACACCGTCGTGCGGCTGCTGCTCAAGAAGATCAAGAAGTGTCTGGGCATGAGGACAACCCACGTCTCCATGGAGAACATGGTCCTCGTGGGCTTTCTGTCCTGCATGGGCACCCTGTGCATCGGCGCCGCGGCCTTCTCTTACTTCGAGGGCTGGACTTTCTTCCACGCCTATTACTACTGCTTCATCACCCTGACCACGATCGGCTTCGGGGACTTTGTGGCTCTGCAGAAGAACGAGGCTCTGCAGAAGAAGCCCCCGTACGTGGCTTTCAGCTTCATGTACATCCTGGTGGGCCTGACCGTCATCGGCGCCTTCCTCAACCTGGTGGTGCTGCGGTTCCTGACCATGAACTCGGAGGACGAGCGCCGGGACGCCGAGGAGCGAGCCTCGCTGAGGAGAGCCCGCAACAACATCCACCTCAAGCCCAAAGAGGACAGCCGGAGCAGCAACGCCATTTTTCTCCCCGCGGAGGACAGGACGAGCCAGATGAACCTGATCCCGCTGGTGCAGGAGGACGCGGAGAGGCAGCGGCGCCAGTCGGCCAACTCGGCGGCCGCGGTGCCCTCCTTCTGCACGTGCCTGTGCTACAGACCCCAGGTGTGCGGCAGCCCCGCGCCCTCCCACCCCGAGACCCTGAGCTGCCACACCAACCCCGTGTACTACAACTCCATCTCCTACAAAATCGACGAGGTGTCCCTGAGCACGCGGGGGCAGACGGGCTCTTCCCCGGGCAGCACTTTGTCGTCCAGCAGCCCTCGCTGCCGGCAGCACCCCCGGCTGCGGAGGAAATCCATCTAGGAGCGCGTGCCGGGCTGCGCTCGGCGCTCCCATCTTACCACGATGATAAATTAAGAACAGAGATGCCAGGTTCTTCTTACTCTCTCATTTCTTCTGCTCCTCTCCCCTCTCAGCTGGCAGCCGGCCCCACGCAGGGTCCGGCAGGAGCCTTTAGACCCTGTCGAGAAATAAGCACTCCTTGCGTGCGGGCACTGAATGACGTCGTTAGTTCTCCTTTGCTTTTTCCTCCCAAGTAGGTTCAGGCATTTGGGTGTGGCAAGAGCCCCCCTGGTGTGAAGCCCTGCGAGCTGTAGGTTTGCTTTCCCACCTCCCTGCTCCCCAAAGGGGGCATTGCTGCTCTCCCCCCCTGCCAAACCTTGGCTGTGGCTGCTGCCAGCACGTGGCTCCTGCTCCATGGCATGGGCTGCACTTGCTGAGAGTACCAAAAGCAGGGCCCACGTGAGCCCTGCGGGGCTGGGGACCTTTTAAGCTGTCCCCTGACCGTGGGTGCAGGTAAGTCAGTGCCATGCAGTAGGTTTGCAGCTGGTGGGTGGGCAGGAGGGAAGGGAGTGTGGTCCTGCAGCTCAGCACGAGGGGATGGCTTCATGGAGCTGCATCTCCCAGTCCTTCAGGCCTGAGCTCAGGTTTGTGGCTGGCTCAGTGCTTCTGGAGGCCCATGCACTCACCCACTTGCCCCCCAGCACACCGTACCTCTTACACCTGTCTGCCACTGGCAGGTCCGGAGCTGGCTGGTGGGACGCTGTGTCCCACTCGCAGGGGAAGCTGAACTCCTGCAGTCCAGCCCAGCCCAGCCCAGCCCAGCCCTCCTCTGCAGAGCCCACACTGTGCTAAGGGCAGCCCCAGGGAGAGCCTTCCTGAACCACACACAGTCAGTCACCTGCAAAGGGCTTGGCCTTGAAGAGACTTTTTTTTAGCTAAAATCACCCCTCCCTTCCCCACCTTTCCTCCACCTGGCAGGTGTGCCAGCTCCTCACCTCCTCACAGTCCCCACGAGCCCATGGGTCTGTCTTTGTTGCTGCTGGGATTATCTGAGGGGGCTGATCCCATCCCCACATGCCTCCCACACCTGGGAGGTTCTTTCCAGCTGGTGATCTTTGTCCATCCTGTCTCGTCTGCAGGAAAGCAGGACTAGGCTCTGACCCTGTTTCACTTTTTTTTTACCCCAATAAAGGGGCATTTTCAATGTTGGCTCTATCTAAAATACCCTCAAGGGGTTTTCCTGAAGGAAAATCCACTTTTCTTGATGTGAAGGCATGCAGAGTGCCAGCGTTGGAAAGGTCTCAGGGCAGGCTTTGCTCTCTCCCCTTTTGTTCTGGGTGGCAGCTCAATAAAAGATGAATCCAGCTGGTGGTGGTTGGTTATTTGTCACGAGGAGGAGCGGAGAGATGTGTCCAGGCCCCAAACCCCAGGGACTGCAGTTCCCCAGGGGCTCAGCACCTGCCTTGCTTTGCACCAGTGGCCCCAGATCTGGACTAGCTGGGTGAGCCTTGGTTTAAAGAGAAAGGGGTGTGGGGGCAGAAAGCAAGCTGTGAGCGTGTAAAATAGGCTTAAAAATGAGAGACTTTCATTGGCTTCAGAGCTCCTCAGTGGTGTCACTTCGTGCTGATCCCACCAGCTCAGCCCCTTTGTTGCCATCTCCCATCTCCCCCACCCTCCCCAGGCTGTCAGCCCAAGGCTTGGCTGTAATGTGGTGCCTTTGCCATCAGAGCTGGGCAGCAGATGGAAAAAGGGCTTGTGGTGGCTCCCCAGGGAACGCTGCCTGATCTCACCACCCCCTCCCATAGACCCCTCCAGCAGAAGCCCCCAAACACTTCCCACCAAGGGCTGGCAGCAGCTGCACACCCCGTAACATCCGAGGGTCTCCTTCCCCAGGGATCCCCAGGCCCCCCTGCACCCACACTCACTCAGTATTCCCAACAGCCTGGGGCACGGATACTTTCTTCTGCCAGCAGTCTTCACCTCCAGGGTTTCAAAATCACCCTTGAATGGCCAGGGCTGGGCATGGAGGATCTTGGGAAGAAAACAGCAGGAGCAGAAGGGGCTCTGGGCTGGGGTGTTGAGCAGAGTACAGCTGGGAGCAAGCTCAGCTCTGTGCCTGGGGAGGCCCCATGGCCCAATTTCATCTGGAAGTGTCACAGGGAAATGCAGGTTTGAAGCTGGGGCTGATTGGGGGAGCTGGAGTGAGGGCCCTTCCACAGAGAGCACTGGCAAGGAGTCTGGGACAGAGCTGGGACACACCAGGATGAGTTGCTCTCATTCCCCACAGGCAGAAGAAGACACACAAAAAAACCTCCAACACACCATAGGAAAAAAAAAAAGGTTTTATTATCACCATTATCAACGTTTTCATTAGCTTAACACTGAATTGTAAATCACTCAATCATTACATATTGTCTGAATAAAACCTACAGACAGGAAAAAAGTATAGCAGAATCCTCTCCTGACTACAGACGAATGGCCAGTCCCACCGGGACGTGCCCCACCTTCCACCCAAGGCAGCCCACGCACCTCGGGGCCAGCAGGCTGCCCAGCTCCATTGCCTGTGTTCCACGGAGATCACAGCTCACCAGATGATGTTAAAAACCTCCAAAAAGTTTTGGAGAGGGTTACCAGAGGCCAAAAAGAGGCAGATCAGCTGCCCCCACTCCCGCGGAAAGGCCACAGGAGTGCAGTGCCCCTGCAAAGCTGTTGGGTTTTGTGAAGCCATTAATGAAGTAAAAAGCAGATTTCCCTATACTGGCCAGGCCCTGGCAGGAGGGGGGAACAAGGCAGAGCACCAGCACACTAGAGGGGGCAGGGGAGGGTGTGGATGGGCTGGGGGTGGCCCCATCCCCGAGCAGAGGCCAGCTCTGCTAACCCGCCCCGGGGCTCCCGGCGGGCAGCGTTGGGAGGGACCTGTCAGTGAAAAGAGATGCCCTGGGCAGCCTCGGTCCCCTCGGGCTGGAATAAGGCCTCGTAAAGAGAGGGGAAGGGAAACCCATGTGGGAAGCAGAGGGTGCTGGGGAAAGCAAGGGGAACCTGGGGGGAAGCTGGCTGGGAGCTCCCCTTCCCCGCGGCCAGCACAGAGACATATCCCGGTCTGTCTTCTCGCTGTGGCACATCCCACCCCTGCGCTGGGGAGCCCCTGCTGAAGACCCCCCGGCTCCTTCCACGGATAGGAAAGGAAGGACCCCCTGTGGTTTGAATCTGGGACTGCCACAAAACGTGGGCAGGGCACGGGCATCCCTGGTGGGTGGCAGGCCATGGCAGTGCTGCGTGAGGGGGTCTTGGGGGAGGCACTGCATCCCGGGATGCCCTTTTCTGCTCCCTGGTGCAAGGAACAGCCTGCAGGGAGCAGGAGGAAGGCAAGCCCAGCGTGGTGAGGCTGTGGGATCGTGCCTTGGACTCGCTCTCCAAACCTCACTTTCCCTTCTTGCTCCAAAGCCAAAAGCAGCTCCAGGTCGAGGAGACGGAATCCCCAAAGCAGAGACCAGTGTACAGCACTGGGAAAGGAGCAACAGCCACAAAAAAAAACCTGCTGCGGGATTTAAAGCTCCAGGCTGGCTGTTAGAGGGACATGGAGCAGACATCCCAACGTGTGGTGCCCAAGCAACTACAAAACCCAGCTCCTGGAAAGCCTGTGGGATGGCTTCAGCATCCTGGATCCTTCCCTCGGGTTGCCTCTGCCCCCATCCCGCTCAGGGAGCGGAGCTCAAGCTGTGCCCTCACGGCCCCTCTGCCAGACACAGCCCTTCCCTGCCCAGCACGGGGCTCTCGAGCCCACCTGAGGTGCCCAGTGTAAATGCCAAGGCTGTCTGCTGACCTGGCTGAGCGGGGCTTAACAACAACACAGCTCTGGATGCTGTTTGAGCTACCGGGAAGTCACGAAAGTGGTTGGGTTGTGGCCTCTGTTTGCTGGTGCTCTGGAAAGGGCTGGTGCAGGGCCGTTCTCTTACAGCCTCTGAAGTGCAAAGAACCAAATGCTACAAGAAACTCTCCCTGGTTCCTCTCCTCCACAAGAGTAAGAGCAGCTACCACAGGGAAGGGAGGGCAGAAGGTATCTACACTTTGAGAAGAGCTTGAGGCTGCCCAGGAATGATTGTGATACTGCTGCCGTGGGTGAGCAGCAGGGGCTGGGGCTGGAAGTGCAGGTGCTTGGTCAGTGGGATGTGGCCCCTGAGCGGAGGAGTCTGGCAGTGTGTGAGTGGAAAACTCATCAGCCGCATTTTGAGAACACCTAATCACTTGCAAACTCCCACATGTTCTCAGACACACACCTTGGCTGGTGTGCCCTGGGGGAAACACAAAAAGGCTCTCGCTGATCATCCCCTTTTCTAAATGTTTGGCTCCAATTAGGCTGCAATTTCGTTTTAGGTGCTCCCTCCAGGTTTCAATATGCCCTGGACTCCTCCACTGACGGTGCTCTGCATTTACACCTCTCTCTCTCTCCTCGAAGCGTTTCACAAAACCCAGGAATTCTTCCATCATTCCTCCAGGCTCCCAGCACCACTGGGACTTGCTGCCTGCACTGCCAGCAGTCTGGCAGCCTTGAGAACAACATGGAGAGCTGTCCCGTGGGAAATGCTGCAAGGAATCCACAGGCAATGAGCTGGGACGGCATCCTGAGGCTCTTTTATTCTGTGCACTGCACCAGTGATGGAGGCTGACTTAAAATCCAACATCCTGATCCTGCCACTTCGGAAAAATCTCTAGGCGAGCCCAGCACTGGCAAACTCGCGGAGAGTGGCACAGAACAGCCTGTGCCTGTTTCACCCCTCAGTCCCCCGTGATCCTCTGCGAAGGTGCAATCTCTCTGCCTTGGGTGGAATTTTCTAACAAAATGGACAAAATACCACCTATGAAGTGGACAAAATAACCCACGAAGCCTTTAAAGAAAGAGCAGCCCAATCTGCTGCCCTGAAAAAAACCTCCCTCTAGCTTGCCCCTGGTATCATCTCGAGGAAAACAGGCAGCTGTCAGGCAGAACTGATGTGGCCCCAGAGTGCAAAGGCTTTTTTTTTTGCTTTATCAGGGCTACGGTGGCAGTGGGAACCATTCTCGTCCAGTTACAAACACTAGATAGCCTAAGGAAAACCAGGAGATTGAAACAGTCGTGAAGTCTATACCCAAACTAATTTTTACCCCTGTCGTATGAAGTCACCTACAGCTGTTTCATTCCTCACCTAAGAGAGAGCTCATGTGGATGGGCACAGACACTCACAGAGAAGTCTATAGGATGGATATATCTCACAAGGCAACAGCCCAGTCTTTGTTTTTTTACAGTCAAGGTTAATATGGAGCTTTTCCGAAAGTGATGTCGTTGAGATTGAGGACAATTATAAACTGTATCAACAATATGTACTACAGCCTGCAAGTCACAATCTGTGCACACCAAATGGAATATATTATTGCTTGGTAGCCTATTAGACTTTCTTTATAAAAAGATTTTTATACAGAGTACAGGATTATGACAAAACTAGCTAAGTAGTTCTCATCTTGAAAATACAACATCGATTCTTTCAACAAAGTAGCTGAGAGTTAATGAATGATAACAAATACTTACTAATAATTTTATGGCCAGTTTCAACAGAATTTCTTATAGGACTCTTTTCTGGTGTTTATTTACATATGCCTCTTTTCTTTTGGAAAAAAGTTGATAAAATATAACAAGGAACATAGAAATCAAAAGAATGAGTAAACTTCATACCAAGAACATCAAACGTTTTTGAAAACACTAACTTATGTTACCTGTTAAAAAACATACATATCATTTTGTCTTTAAAGAAAAATATTCTTCCTGTTTTAAAATATTACCAACAGCATGTAATAAACTAACTTAAAATGAGTTTCATAAAAAAGTTGTCTTGCTGTCTAAACATTACTAAACATGCTTAGGTTGAGATTCTGTTAACTGCCTCAACATCTTAAAAACAGCTCCTTTACAGGAACTTGTGATATTCATACTCCAGTAAGACCTGCAAATTTAGAACAGTACATTGATAAAGGATCTGGTAGCTGGGAACAATAAATATACATTTTCATTCAAAGCAAATAATTCTGCAATGTCCTTTGAAACAAATCCATGGCCAGGAAGTGGGGATGCACTCGACTAAACAATGCAGCCTCCTGGCCCCTCCGCTGCCCGCATGGCTCCCACTGCAGGATGAGGACCCAGGGACTGAACTGCAGACTGAGGACCTTGTGCTGCCTCTGTGCCACCCCAGCTGTGTTTGGGGCAAAGGGAAAAAAAAAACACCAAGAGAGTGGGAAAATACCTCTTCTTGCCTGAACAAACCGGGACCAGCCACGGTCGCGGCTGCAAATTTTTGCTCAGAGCACAAAGAGGACAAAGCCACGTGTGAGGCTGCTCTCCCTGTGTGCAGGGGATTCCTGCTGGGGAGAGATTATTCTGCTCTCAGCATCAAGATTTCTCTGTTTTCCCTGGGGATAGCAATGCAGGTAACATTGAGGGATTGGCTCTCCGTGGTTTTTTTGGCCAGCAATCCTCCCATTACCATTAAAACGTAGTAGTTCATGCACAACCCTGAGCTGGGCAGGTATTTATCTCTCCTCAGCCTTATCCCTCGTTACACTCACAGACCAAAAAATACTTTAATGCCTTTTTTTTCTTTTATGTAAGTCTCCTGCTCTTCCTTTCCCCTCTGTCTGACTAGAACTAACAGCAAGGCTCAGGCACAGGAAGAGGCTCAGCCAAGACTTGTAAATGGGACCAAAGTTGAGTTTCCAGTTGCTCATCACTCTGGCAAATGGCTGCTCTGCACACAACCACACTGGTCATCCCAACTGTCACAGCACATCACCTCACACAGAAACTGGCCAGGCAAATTTTGGGGAAAAAAAGGATTAGGATTTATAAAAATAAGCTATTCCAAGCCTGAGACTTGCCTTGGATGCTACACTGGGAGTCTTAAATCGATGGAGAACCAGAAGAGTTCTTTTTTTGACTACAATACACCATGGTCAGTGCAGGAATCAGGGGTATGAGTGAAGCAAGAATTTAGGTTTTGGGGTACCAAGCAGCTCTGCTGGCCTCACCCTGCATCCCGTGAGCACAGCCAGGAGGGCTCCTGTGAGTCTGCTTTACAAAGGAAGGTCTCTGCACTTGCTGTTCCTGTGGCTGTGCTGTGTGTGGCAGCCAGGGATGGCAGTGGGGAGAAACAGGACTTGGAGGTGAGTAAACCAAAAGAGAGAACCACTGGAACACAACCAACCACGTGAAAAATGCGGAGGAAAACAGGACAGAGCAGACTGTTAAACTGCCTCCAAACTGGAGACATTAACAAAAACAACACAACCAGAACTGTAACCCTGACAGTGACCTTTCACCGTGATTAAAAGCAGATGGCAGATAGTCCTCGGTGTTCTGGAGTCCTGTGGGAACTGAAGTGATCACCACTGAGCCTGCAGGGCTTTCGGAGGGGCAGGATACAGAGACAGGTCGTGACTGCCAGGGAAACGGGAACTGAGCTTTTTGACAGACAGTCATTAAACAAAGTTTGCTGGGGGAATATTTTTGGCATGTGTAGTCTCCTACTCCCTATTAAAGAGTGCAGAAATGCTGCATTCATCTTCCTGGAGACAGGAAACCCAGGATTAACTTAGCTCTTACTGGTAGATAATGTCCAAACTAAGTACCCACAGCAAGGTTTCGGCACAACTGAAGACAGAAGCCCTCTTACTCAGCTGCCAGGTCTGGCACGTACCTGGAGCTCCCCACAGTCCTTTTAAAGTCATAGTTATTAACAGATCCAGTGCTACAAACCACTAAATCTACCTTATCTATTCTAGTTCATACACATATTGTACAATATTGCCTAGTACTCACTACATACCAAGAGGAAAAGATGCTGACTCGAGTTACAAGTAAATGTGCTTTCTTTAAAAAAATAAAAATAAGAGAGAGCGCCACAACATAGTTTGACCAGCATGCAACAAACTTTCTTCAGCTAATATATAGAAATTGTCTAATACAATTAGAAAAAATAATTAGTGAGAGGCCAGAGACATATTTGATCAAGGAAATTAAGAGATTTATCTGAAATGTCGAGGCTTTTGCCACTGAAGACTCAAAAAACTAGTCATTCTATGTCCCTTGTCCTCCTTCCCTCTCCTTTATATTATATAATTTTTTTACAGATTATTGTAAGGCCTATAATTTTTGCATCTATCATGTAATTTACTTCAAAATAATTTAAAATGCCATAGACAAGCTAGGACCAAAAGCAACTGCTTTTACCATCCACTCAACACTCATGCTTTTACTCTAACAAAGCTGAGGTCCACATGCAGAAATAAATGCTCAGTATTTCTCTCTGACAGCTCAAGAATCTGCTCATTCCTACATGTGACATGGGACCTTCACTTTTAAATCACAAAGTAAAACATCTCCAAAAGCTTATTTATTCAGGGACAGCAGTCGTCAAATCCTCATTAGGAACTAAGACAAAAACCTAGCCAAAACAGAGCTACCGACAGAAAATCTTTGGAGATTCTCTGTGGTTCCGGATAATTTCATTGCCAGAAGGATCTAGGGCACTGCCCCCAGCACGTGGCTCTGCTGGCAGTGGCTGCCACAGCTCAGCAGCTCCAAAAATGTGCTTGACTGAATCTACTAGACTTGTTTACAGGTAGCGTTGCACTTTAATGAGCAGAACAGACGTGCTGTGACCACTGTGCCGTCACGTTCCTCACTCACTACCTCCCTGTATCTCCTCTTGCAGGACACTTGACAATGTCTGGGGACTACTGAGACTGCCTAAAGCTCCCCTCTCTCCACAAGGAAGGTTATGTGCTCTCCAGCATCTTCCTGTCAGATGGCAAACTGAGGTTTCCCCCAATCTCCGCTCCCATGGCTGAATAAAACAGTCCTGTTCCAGGTCAGTCCACAGCACAACAGGAAAGGCAGCATCTCCAGCAGATATGTACCAGTACAAGGGAGATGGAGGAAAAGCAGGAGATAGAAGACATCATGACTGAAGGGTGCACAGCAACAAGGTAAGGGGGTCAGTAAACTGTATCTGACAACACAAAACATGTCAAGCTGCAACTCTGATGTTCAGCTCCCACTCCTAGTGGGTTTTTTTCTGAGCAAAATGGCAGTTAATTATCCTGCTGAACTCAAACTCTGTTTAAACTGTCTGCCCTAAGTAGGCGCTGCTTGTTCTCCCACCAGGTTTGCTCCATCAGCAGTGTTAGACACGTAATGCAGTAAAGACACTTGCTGGTAATTTGGCACGGTTTGAAAACACAGCTACGACAGTGTTACAGCTGACATGACTCAGTGACAGGGAACTGATTCTAAAGAAAGAGTTGCAGGTTTCTTTCTTTTTCTTTCTTTCAAAAAGAAAGACCTTATAAAAACCCTAATGCTTCCTCTTAAACTTTCTGCTCCTGCCCTTTTTAGGCCAGACTCTGACCTCTGAATTTTTCAGGTACTCGTGAAAGAACCCGTATTAGAAATTTCTAATATGCGCAGTTAAGAAAAATTCCTTCCTTACTCCCCCTCAAATTCTTTCAAACGCTGCAACTTTCCAGGGCTACTATTGATCTGAACAAAGGGTCCAAGAATGACAGCGAGAGAAGTGAAACAAGAGGTGTTATGTCTAATTTGACAACTAGGACTCATGCCCCACGGCACCTCCTCCTCGGGCAGAGAGGGCACAGTGCCCTCCCCCTCGTCTTCTGTCTAAGGTCACTGGTTTATCCTCCTCTTCCAGCTCCACAAGAACTGATTGAACATGCATTGCGCTTGAGGTCAGAGTTCCAGCAAACAAAACCTTGACAGCATGTTTAAAAAACAAAAGCAGTTCCCCCTTCCTTACTCACTAAGACCTGTCACAGCAGGGTCCCACTGTGCTCTCCAGGGAAAGCTGTGAGGACTGACGCAGGAGCGGGCCTGTGGTGGGATCCACCATGGAGGAAGTTGGGAAGAGCTTGTACCAGCCGATTGCTAAGGTTGACAAATCCAGTTCTTCCAGGAGCACCCTGGCGACTCCCATGAAGTGCTTGCGCTCCATGCGCCCGTAGTTTCCCCAGACTATCACCTTAGGAACGAGAAGGGGGAGAGCACAGTTAATCCTTTCAACTTGCACACTTGCTTGGGAAGCACGTCTGACCAGTCCTTCCTAGGAGCTTTACTACAGCCCAAGGAGACCAGAAAAATTGACTCTACCAATAGGAAATGTGAAGCTCTGGCTGATGATAACACTGTGGTTTTTTTAAGCACACGTTCACAAATTCTAATGTTATCAGATATTTATTCCCCCATGCAAAAGAGGTCAATGTGCACGTGGATAAGATACCATTGTGCCACTCTGCCTGCTGGGCAGGGACAGCACCTGCACAAAGTATCCCTGGAGCTGCAGCCCAACACCTGCAGGTAGAACCTGTTCCTGGCACATGACAGGCCTTGGATACACCAAAAGGTGGCCTGAGGGGGAAAGGGCAGGAAAAATAAACCAACAAAAAAAAAAAGGTGGGCAACATCTTGGGTCAAAAGCCACCAGTCTGAGGAAAAGAGCATGTTTAAACTTCTGCACTCGGAGCTTGTGGCACAGGGCAGAGGCAGACGAGGCACAGGCACTCACCTGGAGGAAGGGCAAGTGGGAGCAGTGACGCGGGGAACACGCGGAGTGGCACGAGGGGAAGCAGAACAGACGGCCGAGAGTGGCTCGCAGACGCAGAGGAAGGGCTAATGGGAGAGCTGGCAGGCGAGCAGGGACAGCTGAGTCACACTTACGACATGATGGAGACCAGTGGGTGGAACGACAGATGCAGTGAGGGTCATGGGCTTAGGCATGCTGGAGGTCTGCACGTGGGCAAGGGGCCCTACGCGGAGCGAGACCAAGGTGACGACTGACTCCAGAGCGAGTCCGTGTTCTGAAGAGGAGAGCATGAGGAGGGTGGGTTATGACAATGGTTGGTGATCTCTGGCTGATCCTCACAGCTTCCTTCCCACCACGTTACAAATTTCCGTAAAACGAGGGTAGGAGAGACAGTGAATGTCAATTAAGGGACAAAAATTCACACTCTAGGCCAGCAGGAGATGGAGCAGGCCACTGCACTAAGTTGGTTTGGTGACACTGCAATCAGCAGAGAGCCAAGCTCTTCATTTTATCCTCTTGTGTTCTCATTTTAGCGCCTTTCCTGGCAGCAAGGCAGCAGGTAAGGAAACCCACGCCAGGTAAGAACAGACCAAGCCAGGTTCCATCCCAGTTCAGTCAAAAATGTGCAGTCTCGTTGCACTGGGGGAAAATGCTCCTAATCAAGGTAGATGAGGAAGAGGTCACTAATGAGAAGGATTCAGCAGGTTATCTGGCAATTCATGTGCCAGTGGGGGTAAATGATAGAAACTCACAGATGAATTACATTAAGTATTACAAATGGATTTCAGTCAGGCTTTGTTAGATGGAAATGATTTTTATATGAATCAACAATGCAAATCACTCTTTGCTCTGGAAACAGAGGTGCAGAGTTGAAAATATGAGTATGATAGAAAATGTATGGCAGTAACAGAAAAGAGGTAGAAAAGGGCAGTGACTGGGTGATGGCCAAAGCAGAGTGTTCTGAATGTGTCTAGACACAGAAGATAACCTACGCTGCAGATTGTGTAGCACCTACAGGTACCACCTATCTCCTAACTGGATGGGAAAAAAAGAATTAAAAAAAATAAAAATCAACCTCTTTCCTGGTAGCCATTTGTGGTAATTGGCAGGGGATGAACTAATCATCAGTTTGAGTGGAAAAAAAAAAGGATTTCCTTTCCATTTGTTACGTTCAGATAGAGTGCATTTGGTTCGACGAAAACATTGGCTTTTTCTCATCTCTGTTAATTATCCAGGTCCCTTGCCAGGCTTATTATCTTCCCTAAGAGGTGGAAGAGAGAGAGAGAGATGGGCAGCCTTGAGATTTGCTCATCTTACCTGTAATACTTTGCCCTGGGGGCTCTCAGCAAACAGTAACACCTGATTGTACAAAGGGTCCAACGATTTGCGAGCCACTTTTGTCTTCTTCTTGGCGATGCACACGCCGTTCTCCAGCAGGTAAGCTTTGATGTAAGCAGCTGGAAAACACAAACGTGGCCAAACGTGAGAAGAAAGCTTCGTGCTCGCTCCAGGAAAGACAGAGTGCCGTGTCTCAGGTATTTCTGAAGGAGGCATTTACAGCAGGGGAAGGATTTGCTCAAGCAGCCTTGTTTGCAGCGCCGCACACCGAGTGCTCAGTCCTGCCAAAGCCCAGGGAAATGACAATTTCTCCCATTCACAGGCATCACGGGAGGCTGGGGCTCAGGGAATTACTGCAGGAGATCAAAGCATGCTACCTGGCAGTGTTTTGGAGCCGGGTTTTGGTGTCAGTCCTCGAGCCTGAATGATATCCACTTCTAGCTGCCCGTTTCGCTCTTGCAAGCCGATTTCCACGTCCCCTAAACCAAAACGTCAAAATAAACAGAAGGCTTTCAAAACAATATATCCCTGGGCTACTAAAATGTTTAAGAAAACAATCCTCATGCCCTGCCTGCTACGTGCTGCAGGAGCAGTTCAAGACCAAAAGCCCCCCAACACCTTTGTGTTCCTTACCCATCGAGGTGGTGGCCAAGGTCTGACGCCCCACAAACTGTGCAGGGCCCATGCTCCCCAGGAAGTCACTGAACTGCCCAGCAGATGCCAGATGGACTCCACTGAAATTCAAGCTGCAAGAGAAAATTGTTTTGGCAAGTGGTTAACTGGCATTTTAAAGCAACCCGTTAACTACAGAACCATATTTCGTACACCTTTGCAATGAATGACACGTAGAGAAGCTTTCTTCCCTTACAAAACTCACTGATTTCCACACAGTTTATAGTTAAAAGGAATCCATTAAAAATCTATTTCCTTGTACAAAAAAACTCACTAATGTCTGAAGTCACCAACTGCTTAATGTTTGTTTAACTATAATTCGTTGTCTGCAAGTAAAATCTCTGCCATCTCAGGCTCACATGCAGCCTTGTCACCTCTTCCAGGTAACAGATTCCTAGAGTAGCTTATGGAATCCTCTTGATCCCTGATTGACCCTTCCCAATCCTCATTTCTAGGGAGGAAATAATGCATCTAGAGCAGTGGTTAAAGGTGAGACAAGGGAGGTGAGCATCAATCCCCTGGGGGCTCAATTCCCCATTTACAGGGAGACCAATACATCTCCTTTTCGACCAGAGGGTCCCATTTCCTACTGCTCAACACCAGAAGCATCCACCCCATCCCCTCTGTGGTGTTCATAACTTTCACAACGAGTCACAAAGAGGACCTGAACACTCTGCAAGGCTAAAGGGCAACGTCCTCAAACACCAGCAATGCCTCTGCTGCAGTCACTGCAGCGAAACAGAAGCTGCTGGGAGGGCAGAGCCTCCAAATCGAGTCAGCAGCTACTGAGGCTGGTCCATGGCGTGGCTACAGGTGCTGGGCACTGCGCTCGGACACGTGTGAAGCAACACAAAAGCGTCAGACGCCGAGGCGCTCTGATCCAAACCAAGATTTGTTCATTTGCGCCCTGATTTACGCAGCTGTTCTAGGGGGTTGCAGAGAAACTCGCTGCAAATGGTAAGGAGGAGGCTCGAGGCCAGCATTTGACACCTACATTTGTCCCGCAGGCATCTGCCAGCCCGTGACACACGTCAGGAGCTTTGTGCCGGGGTACCCACTCTGCCTCCGGGGAAGCTGCTGCGTGCCAAAGCCAGGCACAATTACAAACCTCCTCCACCTTCCCAAACGGCCTCGGAGCGGGGCAATTACCCACGTAATGATGCAGCTCCCTGCTTCCCCAGATTCGTTTGGGAGGAGGCTGCACACTGGGTACAAGTGATGGCAGCGGGGCGGGCTGGGGACCACAGGCTCTCACACAGCTGACTCAGCCACAAAGACTCACCGATGCCCCCCCTGCAAGCCAGTTGTGTTTTAAAAGACATTAAAAAGAAAAAAAAAAGGAACTCTTTGTAAACCCCAGTCAGCCAGCAGAACGTTAATTTCGGGTTAGGATTTCAGCTCTCATTAGTTTTTTTTTCAGAGCTGGTCTCAGCCCCACGGGAATATTTATTTATTCTGACAAGGAATTAGAAAGGCAGCACACACACCTCAGCATCTCACCACGCATGGGCTGAAGGGAGTGTGTCCCTAGCTCAGCCCCTGTGACAGGGACACTGCATTAAATGGCCCAGCTTTTCCACGGAGCACTGCACCTCCCTCTGTGCTGACCTGGCTCTTTCAGAAACCTGGTTACTGCTGCTACACAGGGAGCTGCTGAGCCATCAGCATGGAAAACCCTGCCCTTGAGCTCTTTAGGAATGTCACCCCTGTGAAAAGGGAGGAGGGAGGCAGGTGTCTTGGCATCCTGGGAGACAGGCTTGGGAGGGGCTCTCCACGGGTGGATTTTCCCCAGTTCAGTGGTTTTTTTCACTGTTTGCACAAACACTCAGGGTGATATTTTGAGGTACAACAGGAACAGCAGGATTTATTGCTGGCATTATTGCAGAGAAGGCTTAAAAATTTTCACGGCTTTCAGTGTCACCAACTCCTCAGCAGCACAAGGTGCCTCCCCAGTGCCAAAGATCCCTCCTGGGAGCAGGGGTGGCACAGGGCCACCCTCTGCTCTCTGTGGGGACAAGACTCCTGCCCCACCACCCCCCTGGCCCTGCTGGGGCAGCTCTGTCTGGGGAGCAGCACCCTGGGCACAGGAGCAGGGCAGAGGTGCTGGATTTGTGGCTCTGAGGATGAACTGTGCACAGAGAGAGAGAGAGAGGCATCCCCAGGGCTGGCAAATCTGCAGGGACATGGGATGGGGGAAGCAGGGGAAGAGAGAGCCTGGAGCCAGACAGGCTTTATCAGGCTCGTGATTTGCCCATACAAGGAGGGAAGAAGAGAGTCCTGGTGCACACGAGGACCAGCGAGGCTCTGTAAGCCTGCTGGCTCAGGCTTTTGGAGCTGCACACCGAGAGTCAAAAAAGGATGAAAAACCAGTGCTTAGAGAACTCAAAATAGTTCAAGAGAAAGGAGACCTGACAGAGAAAGACATAAGATTCAGCAGGAGATGAATGGACCGTCGGCCAGAAGGTAAATGTTTTCTTTATTTTTCTCAGCTCATGGAAGATAAATGGGCCAGGGTCTCGCTCCTGCCCTGGGGAGCGTGTGACCTGAACAAGCACGTAAATAACAGGCTGGCAAGACAACTCACAACTGTTCAGGGAAATGTTCACTGCTGTGCTCAGAACAGATGCTCGGGCTAATTAACAAGATGCTGAGGAGCAGGACAGAGGAGGGGAAGCATGAGACTGAGTGAAGCTGAGGGCTGTGAGAGTGCACAGCACACCCAGAACCAGATCTCAGAGCAGTTTTTCTCTGGGGTGAACTCCAGCCATGTTACTGCAGTGGGGACACAAAGCTGGGAGAAGATCACCCACAGAAATTTGGCATGCTGCAGGACAGCAGAGAGGAGAAACCCCTCTGGCCCCTGGATCCTCAAAATAATTCATTAAACCTGTCACAGAAAACCTCTTCTTCTTACCTGCTGGGGGGTAGAATCATGTCCAAGGCTGATGCCAAGTATTTTTCTGCACTTTATACATGTGTGGAGAGAGGCCACCCCTGTGCTCTCACACAGCAGCTCACCCCTCCTCTGGGCTGGTGTCCCTGCCCATGGCTCTGGGTGATATTTAAGGTCCCTTCCAACCCAATCCATTCTGTGATGCTGGGAATGCTGCTAGCAAAGGCTCTGCCTCAGGAGAAACTCAGAGCACCTGCTAACAGAGCAGCCTACGCTGCAGCCTTCACCAGTGATACAGAGGAGAACAGCAGGAGAGCACGAAGGAAAATGCTGAAAAGCAAAGGAACAAGAGCTGTTGGGCTAAAGGTGAACCAACAGCAACTGCAAGTGTTTACAGCAAAGCAAAGGTCGCTGTTGCCTCCACACAGATTCAGAAGACAGAGGACTGTGGGTGACCTCGAAATGATGAGCACTCCTCAGAGCACACTGCAGCAGGGGCACAGACCCTCACAAGGAGCTCAGCCCTTGTGCTTGAATGAAGCTGCTGCTGCTGATTTGTAATTCTAAGGCTGATCCCAAGAGGAACGGCAAAGCCCACTTAGAAACACAGGCCAAGGTCAAGACTCAGTCAGTCTGGGTAACAGCACTAGTTAATAGGTTTACTAGCACTATTTGAAACTCAGTATTAGGTTAGACAGTTAATGTTCCCTGCTGTTGTTATATTTGACTGGGAAAAGGTATTGAATTAATTCTTTAATAGATTATGCCATTAGCTGGTGGGACTGGCTGCTTCGTTGCACAGAGGCTGACCTTTTGGAGTGCTGCTTTCTTTATGAGGCATTAGAAGCAGCAGCTCTAAATCAGGCTCCTTGGCTTTGACCAATTCCTGGACATATATTTGGGAATTGCCAATAACCCTGGAGTGGAAACAATTTCTGTCTGGAAAACTCATAAGCTGCCTCCAAGAAAGCCATTGCTTCTCCCCCGAGAAGAGAGGGAAGAGGAGAATAAAACTGCAGAAATTTAGCATGAATGTGAATTAAAACCAGCAGGAACCATTTCACTAAACTAAATTTAGGATGCTCAAATCCAGCTCGGTGAGCTCTGTCTGTCAAGTGCTCAGAGAGAGGCTGGGATGCTGAGGTGAGGGGGATGTGTATGGTGAGACTGGTAGGAGAGACCTTCCCCATCCACTCACTTGCTTTTCCTGAAGCTAAAGCAGGGAGAAAAAGAGCTCCAGGGACCACTGTGACTTCTTTCAGCTCTTTAAATGCAGCCTTGGTGCTCCCAAGAGCCCTCCCCTACCACTCTCACACTCAGCAGCCTCTTCTTGCCTGACCTGTGATGAAACAGAGCTGTTCTGACCTGCCCTCGATTCAGCAACCAGCTCTCCAGCTGAATCACCACACGCTGGATGTGCTGGCAAGGAGACATGTTCCTGAAGGGATCTGCCACAGGTGACAGTGGTGGCTCCACCGTGGGTGACAGCCACCAGACAGACGTGTTTCTCACACACTGGAGCAATCCTGGAAAGCCCTTCCCCTCCCATTGCCAAACATGCCTCTCCCTTAAGGGGAAAAATCACTATAACCTGGTTATCACCAATACAAGACGTCTTTTTTTTTTTTTTACTTCAAGGTAAAGAGAAACGCTAAAAATAGCCAGAGGAATAAAAGAGGGAGCATTTTTCAGCTGACTTGCAAATAGCAGCTGTCACAGCCAGCAGGGCCCTGGGGACAGGGGCTGCAGCAGGACCATCTCACGCTGCAAAGGGCTGCACACAGAGAAGATTAACAGGTGACACTCCTCAGCCTTTTGTCTAAAGGGCACAGACCCTCCCCTGAGCCAGGGCAGCACAGCCTTGGAACAGCAAAGAGAAATTAATTATCTCTTCCCTGGCCCTTTGCTCTCACTAATCATGATTCACGGGCTCTGCTTTGCCACAGCAGAACGAGAATGATTTTAACGAAGTTAAAGATTATGGGTTTGCTGTGGAATTGGTCGTAAGTTGAATGCGACTCGTTATTGGCAGAGAGAGAGCACAGGGAGGTCAGTGATGCCTCCAGGGTGTCAAGGACAAATGAAGGACATTTGGCTGGAGGATGCTCAGACCCCGTTCCTCGGCTGTAGGGAAGGAGGCAGAGCAGGGACAGCAGAAAGACAACACTGGATACCATCGAC